CTTTCCTGATCATTATGAGCACAGGGCCGCAGTGCCATTTTAGAGCTAAGGCTGCTTCCCCTGGTTCATCAAGGTAGCTCGGCCTCCACTGACACTGTGTTTCCTGGGAAGAAGGGGGAGGTGATAGTTGGATGGCACTTGCACATTTAAGCTAACAGGACAGAGATGCCCAGGGGCTGCCTCAAAGGAGATGCAATCCCGTGACTTCCCAGCAGCATTCTCCCCCGAAATCCGCAGGTTCAGAGCAGCGGGGGTGGGCAGCGTCTCAGCCATGAGGAAGCCGAGAAGCGGATGTCTGCCTCCCCTCCTCCCTCCCAGAGGACCTGCATGTGAAACTAACCCAGAGTGGACGCTGAAGCTCAGCTGCCAAGTAATCTCCCATTCCCGGAGAGACTGCACAGCTTCCTGCTCAATGCCAGGTGGGGCTTCATCCTGGAGAGGAGCAACAGGTGAGCAGATGTGGCTGCCCCAGTGGTGACTGTAGCCTGGGTGCCCGAGGGGAAGGGAAGGGACAGCCTGTTCCCTGGAGTTGGGTGGCCCATGCAGACAGAGATGTGGACTTCATTCCCATGGCAGGGAGGGTCATGTGGGTAGCTCCACAGGCATGGGGAGAAATGTAGGGGCCTGGTGGGCTTCAATAGAGTGTGAGAGCATGGAAACAGGGGTGGGTAGGATGTTGGGGAATGAGTTCCCCGGGGCTCTGCAGAGCATTAGGGACCAAAGAACATGGTAATAGGGGAATACTTGGGTATGCAGGAAATGGGAGGGAGACCTGGAGGACAAGTGTGTGCTGTTGAGTCAGAGTACAAAACCCAGGAAGTCTGGTTTGGAGAGATGTGTTAATAAAAGTTTGGGTTTTAGATTCCAGGCCTAAGAATGATGGGATGGAGGTATTTAGCGTGGTGGTGATTGGATTGTTAGATGCCTGGGGCATGCAAGGTGTTGGGAGCTGAAATCTGGTAATTTCTGTATATTGCCACTCTGTGATATAGACAGGGAAATGGAAGGAGTGTATGGAGGAGGTCAGGTGACTTTCAGTAGAGTTGTAATAGGGAGGGGCTTGTAGGTCTACTAGTAGAACTGGTGGAGTCTCCAAGTGTTAGACCTGGGACAGGGCCTGGGCAACAACCGTAGGAAAAGTGAGGGTAAGAAAATGGTGAGGGGTATAGTGTGGTCTTTCTTAGGGACTGTGGTATGGGTGCACGGTTAATTAGGAAACTTTGACAAAGGTCTCGGGAATACTAAGGACCTGGGCCATCTTTTTTTTTTTTTTTTTTTTTGACAGGCAGAGTTAGAGAGAGAGAGAGAGAGAGAGAGAAAGGTCTTCCTTTTCCATTGGTTCACCACCAAAGTGGCCGCTACAGCCTGTGTGTTGTGGCCAGCGTGCTGCACCAATCTGAAACCAGGAGCCAGGTGCTTCCTCCTGGTCTCCTATGTGGTTGCAGGGCCCAAGGACTTGGGCCAGCCTCCACTGCACTCCCGGGCCACAGCAGAGAGCTGGACTGGAAGAGGAGCAACTGGGATTAGACCCGGTGCCCATATGGGATGCCAGCACCGCAGGAGGAGGATTCACCTCATGCACCATGGCACTGGCCACTAGTGTACTGTTTCGCCACATTCTTTCCAACATTTGTTGTTTGTTGATTTCTGTATGCAAACCATTCTAACTGTGGTGAGGTGAAACTTCATTGTGGTTTCGTTTTGCATTTCCCTAATGGCTAGTGATCCTGAGCACATGTGTCTGTTGGTCATTTGCATTTCCTTCCTTGAAGAATGTCTGTTCAAGTCTGTTGCCCATTCTTAACTGCATTGTTTGTTTTGTTGTTGTTGAGTTTCTTGAGCCCTTTATACATTCTGGATATTGACACTTTATCAGGTCATAGTTTGCATATATTTTCTCTCATTCTGTCAGTTGCCCTTCACTTTGCTGAGTTTTCATTTACAGTACAAAAGCTTGTCAGCTTGATGTAATCCCATTAGTGTGTTTTTGCTTTTAGTGCCTGTACTTCTGGGTTCCAAGAAGTCTGCACATGGCAATGTCTTGCATCATTTCCACCATGTTCTCTAAGAATTTGATGGTATTAGTTTGTACATTTAGGTCTTTGATCCTTTTTTGAGTTGGTTTTTTTGTAAGAATAACGTAGGTTTTTATTTTCATACTTCTGCATGTGAGATCCACCTTTTATGCACATTTTTTGAAGAGACTGACTTTGTCACATGGTTGGATTTTAGATCCTTTGTCCAAGATAAATTATTTGTAGATGTGTGGATTGAGTTTTGGAGTTTCTGTTGTGCTCCATTGTTCCACATGTGTATTCTTTACCAGTATCAGGCTGTTTTGTTTGTAACTGTCCTGAAGTATGTCTTGAATTCTGGTATTGTGATGCTTCTGGCTTTGTTTTTCACATATAAGATTCCATTAACTATTCTGGGCCTCTTGTGTTTCCATTTGAATTTTAGCATCTTTTTCCCCTAGATCTGAAAAGAATGTAATTGGCATTTTAATTGGGATCACATGAATTTGTAAATTGCTTTTGGTACTATGGACATTTTGATTATATTGATTATTTTAGTCCTTGAATATTAAAGCTTTTTCTATTTTCTGTGGCTTTTGTTTATTTCACTAATGTTTGCTAATTTTCATAGCAGACATCTTTGGCATTCTTGATTAAATTTATTCCATGGTATTTAATTTTTTGTAGCAATTGTGAATGGGATTAATCTTAGAAGTTCTTTCCCAGCCATGGCTTTTTACACATAGACTATTGATTTTTTGTGTTAATTTTATACCCTGGCACTTCACCAAAGTCTTATGAATTCCAGTATCTCTTAGTGGAGACTTTTATTTCCCCTATATATAGAATCCTGTCACCCGCAAGTAGGGGTAATTTGACTCCCTCCTTCCCAGTTTGTATCTTTTGATTTCTCTTTCTTGCCTAATAGGTCTGGCTAAAACTTCCAGGTCTATATTGAATAGCAAGGGCACAAGTTGTCATCCTTGTCTGATTCCAGCTCTTCACGGGAATGCTTCCAACATTTCCCCATTCATAAGCTGCTGTCTATAGGCTTGTCATAAATTGCCTTGATTATGTTGAGCAATGTTCTTACTATACTCAGTTTCCTTAAGGTTTTCATTATGAAAGGATGTTGTATTTCATCAAATGCTTTCTCTGCATCTATTGAAATAAGCCTATGGTTTATTTGAAAGTTTTATTTATTTATTTGTGAGGCAGAATTATAGGCAGAGTAGGAGAGACAGACTTTTTAATTGGTTGGCATACAGTCCTTTGTATTAGCTCCTGATGGGTAAATCTTTTAATCATCTGTGGTATCTGTTGTTACCTTTCATTTTTCATCTCTGACTTTACTGATTGGGGTCTTCTTTTTTTTAAGGATAGTTGGGCCAAGAGTGTATAAATTTTTTAAGCAAGTTCTTCATTTCACTCATTTTTATATTCTTTTTTTGATTTCAATTTTGTTTATTTCTCCTCTAATTTTAATTATCTCTTTCCTCTTGATAATTTTGCAATGGATATCATTTGTTTTTCAAGGGCACTACATTGGTGGCTCACTTATTTGATGCTTTTCCAATTTCTTGGTATAGGCACCAATTTCTCTAAACTTTCCAGTATCTGATAAGTTTTGATATGTTATACTGTCATCTTTGTTTGTTTTCATCTTTTTTAAATTTTTTCTATGACTCACAGTTCCTTCAGGAGCATGTTCAGTCTCCATGTGGTTGTATATGTTCTTGAGGTTCTTGGTGTGGTCATTTGCCCCTTCATTCCATGTGGTCGTGGAAGATGCATGGTATGATTTACATATTTTTTGAATTAGCTGAGACTTATGGCCTACCTTATTGTATATCCTGGAGGGTGGCTCAAGGCCTTAGTTCCTGTCAAACCATGTGGGAGACGTGGATGAAGATCCCACTTCTCAGCTTTAGTCCCATCTTGAGGGCATTTGGGGAGTGACTCAGTAGATGAGAATTGTCTCTTGCTATCTCACTCATCATGAATTATTAAAAATTTTACCTCTCTTTTTACCTAGAAACTTGATTTAAAGTATTCAAACTTGATGTATTTCATATATACAAATTTAGAAACATTAATTATTCCCACTCTACCCTCGCTCACTCCTACCCACCCACCTGAACATGCTCCCATCCCTCTTCATTTTTTTGAAGAGTTATTTATTTGAAAGTCAGAGTTACACAGAGAGAGGAAAGGCATAGAGAGGTCTTCCATCCGATGGTTCACTCCTCAATTGGCCACAATGGTCAGAGCTGTGCTTATCTGAGCAAGGAGCCAGGAGCTTCTTCTGCGTCTCCCAATGGGTCAGGGGCCCAAGGACCTGGGCCATCCTCCACTGCTTTCCCAGGCCATAGCAGATAGCTGGATTGCAAGTGAAGAAGCCGGTCTCAAACTGGCGCACATATTTAATGCTGGTGCTCCAGGCCAGGGTGTTAACCCACTTTGCCACAGCACCGGCCCCATCTCCCATCCCTCTTCATCCTCTATCCACTATTGCCATTCTTATTTTATAAAAAAATCTATTTTCAATTATTTTATACTCATAATATAAAGCCTACACTAAGTAAAGAATTCAACAGTTTGAAAGAATTAAAAAAAATCTGTTCCTGAAGAGGCAAGACATGGTTTGTTTAAAATCATTCTATCTGCAAGACAAAAGTTGTCTAAATCATTGTATGTCAAAGTATCAATATCACTAATATAGATCACCTTTTAGGTACTCTGTTACCACATTATCACAGATCAGGGAGAATATACGGTGTTTGTCTTTTTTTGGAAAGGCTTATTTTACAAAGTGTAAGGTTTTACAGTTGCATCCATTTTTTTTTCTTTTTGCAAATGACAGGTTTTTTTCTTTTTTTTTGTACCGGAAAACATTTCTTACCTGGAGCACACCGGAGATCAACACAGCCCCGCTATCCTAGCCCGGAGCCAAGACAGCTGTCACCCATGTTTTTGACGCTGCCTGGCCACTTCCGGTGCTGCTGTGCTTACTGGGAGGAAGAGGCGGGTCCTAGATGCTGGCTCTTGCGCAATCAGCCTGGTGGAGAGCAAGACGAGATTATCTGGTGGTGGCGGCATGTCGTCGGCTGCTGGAATTGTTTGCTGATGGCGGCGTTTTTGGCAGCGGTACTGGCCCGGAGAGTGTGGGAGTGAAGGTGTTTTTCTTATGAAACAATGAGAGGCCTGGGACCTCGTGTGTGTGTGGGGGGGGCGGTCGTGGCTCCTTGGAGCAGTGTAGACACTCATGTCCGCAGGCTGGGTGGCCGTGGGGGCGGGCGGCAGCTCAGCTGTGGGAAGTGGAGAAGCGGGTGGCTGTTCTCGCGCTGGAGGACAGGACTGCGGGTTACAAGGTATGTTTATTTGTAACCTGTAACTTACTTATTTCATCAGTCCTAGCAGTGTTTTTGGTGGGTGTTTTAGTTTTCATTGATTTTTATGATTGTTTTTAGGATGTCTCTATCTTCTGGATTTAATCTTATCAGTTACATGTATTTGTTATCCAGGGATTTCTCCATTTCTTCTAGTTTTCCAGTTTATTAGTATATAGTACTGAATAGCAATTTCTCTGAAACCTTGTGTTTCAGTGATGTTGATTATAATCTCTGCTTTTTTTCTGTAATTTTATTTACTGGAGTTTTTATCATTTTTGTTAGTCTGGTTAGAAGATTATCTGCTTTTTAAAATTTTATATCAGGTATGCAAATTTCATGTATTTCATATATGCAAATTCAAAACATACTGACACCTCTTCCCATGCTACCATCTCTCAAGCCTACACTCCCATCCTTCTTCTTCCTCCTTCTCTTGTTCCCACTCTTAATTCTTCATCAGTTAAAGGTAGGGTGGGCAAGTTCCACATGAGCTGCGTAGTGATCTTTTTTCAAAAAAATATATATTCTTAAGTGGCAGAGATGCAGAGATAGGGAAACACAGAGATAGAGGTCTTCGATCTGCTGGTTTGCTCCTGAAATGGCCACAGGGCCCATTGCTGGGCTGATCCAAAGCTAGGAGTCAGGAGCTTCTTCCAGGTCTCCCATATGGAGACTGAAGGGGCATCCTTATGTTGTTATATGTTTGACAAAATGATTTCACATTCTCCCCATCCAGCATGACATTGATGGTTGATTTGTCATACATAGCCTTTATGATTTTGATATGTATTCCTTCTGTGTATATTTTGTGTAGTTTTTTAATCATTTTTTATTCTTCTGATATCTGTATGTAATTAGAAGATGTGGTTTTCAAAAGATTTATTTCATTTGTTTGCAAGATTTATACAGAGAGATAGAGGTAGAGCAAGAGCAAAAGAGAGGGAGGGAGGGAGAGAGGTCTTCTGTTTGCTAGTTCATTCCCCAAAAGACCTTGATGGCCAAACTGAGCCATCAGGATCCAGAACCTTCTTCCAAGTCTCCCATGTGGCTGCATGGCCCCAGCTAATTGGGACATCCTGCGACATTTTCCCAGGCATGTTAGGAGGGAGCAGGATTGAAAGTGGAGCAGCCTGCATGCTAAATGGCACCCATATGAGATGCCGGCATTGTGTGTTGTGGTTTTAACCCACTGTAACACAACGCCAGCCCACACAGTGTGGTTTTATTCTTCCATTATTTTGATAAAATTCATCATGTGTATTAATTTGCGAATGTGGAACATCATGGCATTTCTGATATAAATTCCAGTTGAAGGTTTTGTGTGAGCTTTAGCATGTGGTTTTGGTTTTGTTAGGCTAGAATTTTGTTAAGAATCTTTGCATCTTTTTCATTATGTATATAGGCCTTCAGTTTTCTTTGTATTTCATGTTTTGGTATCTTTTGTAATGCCGGCCTCTCAAAAAGTGTTTGTTAGAGTTGAATCCTACTCCTTCCAGTTTATTATTTTGAAATAGTTGGAAAAGTATTGGAGTTGCTTTTTAAAGCTTCAAGCTCCTTGGTTACCTTTATTCAAAGGTATTTAAATTTTAGTAGCTATTGTGAATGGAATGGATCTTCGAAGTTGTTTCTCAGCCCTGATATTGTGTGTATACAAATTCTATTGATTTTTGTGTGTTAATTTTATATCCTGCCACTTTTCCAAACTCTGTTATGAGTTCTAATGGTCTCGTGGTGGAGTCTCTGGGTTCCCCCATTTATAAAATCATGTCCTTTTGAAAGAGGGATAGTTTGACTTCCTCCTTCCCAATTTGTATCCATTTGATTTCTTTTTCTTGCCTAATGGCTCTAAAACTTCCAGAACCATATTGAATAGCAGTAATGAGAGTGCATCCTTGTCTGATCCAGATCATAGTTGGGAATGCTTCCAACTTGTCCCCATTCATAACATGCTATCAGTCGGTTTGACATAAATTGCCTTGATTGTGTAGAGGAATGTTCTTTCTGTCATCAGTTTCCCTGAGGTTTTCTTTCTGAAAGGTTTTTGCATATTTTCCAGCTGTTTTCATCTATTGAAATAATTATGTTTTTTAAATATTTATTTAATTGAAAGGCAGATTTATGGAGTGAGGGAGAGAGATTTCCCAAGAATGTCCAATTCATTGGCAAACAGTACATTGTAGCAATTCCAGATGGTTGTTTTTATTTATTAGGTTGCTATTATTACAGATTGTTTTTCATTTCTGGTTTTACAGATTGGGGTCTTATTCCTGTTGTTGTTTTGGAGATTTTCAGCAATTTTCTAAAAAATATTTTTTAACCAGATTTTCATATCAGTGATCTTTTTTTTTGGACAGGCAAATTTAGACAGTGAGAGAGAGAGACAGAAAGTCTTTCTTTTCATCAGTTCACTCTCCAAATGTCTGCTATGACTGGTACACTGTGCCGATCTGAAGCCAGGAGCCAGGTGCTTCCTCCAGATAACCCATGAAGGTGTAGGGCCCAAGCACTTGGGCCATCCTACACTGCACTCCCGGGCCACAGGAAAGAGCTGGACAGGAAGAGGTGCAACCGGGACAGAATCTGGCACCCCGACCGCGACTAGAATCCGGTGTGCTAGCGCCACAAGTGGAGGATTAGCCTATTGAGCCATGGCGCTGGCCTCAATGATCTTTTATAATGTTTTTCTTCAGCTTTGTTCATTTCTTCTCAAGTTTCCATGATTTCTGTCATCCTACTAATTTGGAGTTTGATACGTTGTTTTTCTATATTTTGTGATGCATTGAAAAGCTCATTTATTTGATTCCTTTCCAATATCTTGTTGTAGTTACAAGTTGTTATAAAGTTTCCTGTTAACATTGCATTTGCTGTGTCCCATACATTTTACTATGTTGTACTGTTATCTTTGATCATTTCCAGAAATTTCTGGATTTTCATTTTGATTTCTCCTAAGACCAACCATTCATTCAGGAGCATATTGCTCGGACTCCACGTGTTTGCGTATGTTCTGGAGTTCCCTGAGTTGTTGATTTCCCGTTTCCTTTCATTTTGATCATAGAAGATGCGTGAACTGATTTCAGTTATTGAGTTTTCTAGGCTTGCTTTATGTCCTATCATAAGTTGTGTCCTAGAGAAAGTTCCAGAGACTGATGAGAAGAATGTGTATTCTGCAAGTTGTGGGATGAAATGTTCTGAGTTAGGACTTCTAGCAAGGCAGTCTATTCCCAGGGACAAAGCAATGAGGGACTGAGTCACCTACAATTTTGACATAGGGGAGGGGCTAGGAAAAGACCAAGAGAAGACAGTTCAGGTGTTCTCATAAGATATGTTTTTTATTTAAGAGATCCAAATTCCATGCATTTCATAAATGCAATTTAGGTACACAGTGATAGTCCCTACCCTACCTCCCTGTCAGGGGCACAACACGTCGGGCACTTGGCTGTCTGACTCCAAGCAGCAGCCCTACCGATCAGGCCAAGGATGCTGGGCAGGTACCTGCCGTTCAGTAGCCCTGACCATGGGCAGTTTGGCAGAGCTGTGCACCATGTGGGAGTGGCTGGGTGTTAGTCCGGGAGGTGTAGAGAGCTCCACACTGCCCTGAGCTTCTGGTGGGCTGGATTGGGAGCAACGATGCCCTTGGAGTGCTCCTGATGATGGTGAGCACAGGAAAGGCATGTCAGGCTGGGGCTCAGGCCGTGACCCCTGGTTCTTCAAGGCAGTGCCGCCTGTTCTGCTGACGCTGTGTTTCTGGGAGGAAGGGATGGGTGTTAGTTGGATGGTACTTGCGCAGTAGGCCTAGGGGAGAAGTAGGCTATATCCAAGGCAGTGTCGTTGTTGGCTGGCATTGGCAGTAGCGGTTCAGTAGGCTTGTAGAGTGCAGGATGGACTTGTTGTGTTTAAGTTTATGAACAGAGAGATGCCCAGGGCCTGCCTCAAAGGATGGGGGATCCTGGTGCTTCCCAGCAGTGTTTTCCTGGCAAATCCACTGGTTCAGAGGCAACGGGGGTGGGCAGGGGCTCAGGTGTGAAGAAGCCATGATGCAGCTGTCTGCCTCGCCTCCCCCCTAAGAAGGACTCGGATGTGAAACTAACGCAGAGTGGACACTGAACCTCAGCTGCCAGGCAATCTTGCTCTTCTGGAGACTCTCCACTTCCTGTCATCAGTTCATGGACGTCAGGTTTGATTCCGTATTTCAGCTATTGTGAACTGAGCTGCAGTAAACCTGGAGGTACAGATAACCCTTTAAAATCTGCTGATTTCATTTCCTAGGAGTAAATCACCAGGAGAAGGATTGCTGAGTCATATGGAAGATTTATTTTCAGCTTTCTGAGGTATCTCCATACTGTCTTAGGCAGTGACTTCCCCAGGTTACATTTCTACCAACAGTGTATTAGGGTAGCATATGCCAGATCCTCAGCAGCATTTATCATTTGTTGATTTTAGCATGAGAGCATTCTGACTGTGGTGTGGTGAAACCTGATGGCTAGGGATCCTGAGCCTTTTTTCATGTGTCTGTTGGCCATATGAAGTTCCTCTCTTGAAACATGCCTGTTCAAGTCCTTTGCCTATTTTTAAATGGAATTTTTGTTTTGTTGTTGTTGAGTTCCTTGAACTCTTTGTAGATTGTGGATGTTAATCTTTTATAAGTTTTATAGTTGGCAGATTATTTTCTCTTATTCATTTGGTTGCCTCTTGACTTTGCTCTTTTTAGATGCTGGATATTAATCTTTATTTTTTGACAGGCAGAGTTAGACAGTGAGAGAAAGCGAAACAGAGAGAAAGGTCTT